CCATCCCTCACTGTCGCCATGTCTGTCCGACGGGAACTTGGAGCAAGGCGCCCAGATGTTGACCACATATTCGACCTCTTCGCCCTGTTGCTTCATGATCGAGTTCAGCCTGAGTACTCCAAACCCAACCGTCCTGTCGGCCGTAGTTGGTGGAGATTGGCCGTCCATTGAAGGGCGACCTGCCCTCGAGTTAGCCGTGCTTGGTGGTGCTCCTTCCCTGCTCTCGAGATCCTCGTTGCTCATCTGCTGCTCTTCCGCCTGCTCCGACAACGCCTCAAGGTCCGAGTTTTTCCTAGTAAACGCGCCCCGGGTGTTCTTGTTGGCCCAAACCATGCTCCTACGCAAGGCCTTGTTCCCCGACACGAGGGGTGGTTTTGACTCCTTGGATGGTACCTGGGGCGAGCTATTCGAGGGCCCGCCTGATCGAGAATTCGGCTTAGCTGCTACAACTGGCTGGGTGGCCCGGATTTTGACGACCAACAACAGCTCGGACTTGGAGGACGGCACATCACCAATGTCGGCAGACGAAAGATCGGAGAAGAGCGTGCGCATCTGTGAGGTCCGCGCTATGTTGGTTAATTGGCCGCCAGCTGGCACATCTATTATATAACTCTCGGAAAGTGGCGTCACTGGTCCTCCGGGTGCTTTGGTGGCCAGGTACAGAACCAGGGTTGTCGGCTCGTTGGATGCGCCGGCAAACATTCTGATGTCCACCATCAAATGGTGCAAGGCCGTCAACTCGGGCGTGGTCGTGGGAGGCTCGTCCAACAGGCTCATGACGGACTGCAGTTGGGTGATTTCCACGACGGAATCATCCCCCGTCATGACACGGCCACGGGCGTTTGGGTCGCGCACAATAACCTCTCCTCCGCATAGCTTGTTGACACGGACCAGATCCCAGACCGTCTTTTCGCGTAGGTTTTCGTATTCCCAAGTAGTGAGGACGTTGTGTAGAAACTGCTGTCGGGAGAGGTTCAGGCTCGTAATCAGCTTGGAGAGAGCGTCGAGCTTTTCGTACTGTCGGGAGAGGAGGAGCCCGTGGAGATTTGTCGAGTGCCATTCGCGGAGGCAGGATGCGATCTCATCAATGAGGGGCTCGGCAGCCGAAGTGGGTGTCTCGTCGCCAATCTTGAGCATGGGCACGGGAGCGGGTGGTCGAGGTGCATTGGGATCGCGTTTTACGGGGACGGACAATCGGCCTTCTTTTGCCACCCTTTTGCTCCTTCTCCTCTTGCTCTCTCCATTTGCATCTCCATTGTCGGGCTCGCTGTCGTCAGTCTCGTCGCTCTCGCCCAGCACTTCTCGTACCTCGACACAGCTGCGGGGGAAGATGCCGCTGAAGACGCGAGCCTCTAATGTCTGGCCCTTGACACTGGTCAGGCCAGCAAGAAGACTTGGAGGGGCGACCAAGTAGCCTCTCAACCAGTTCCCATCGGGAGTCTCTTCGATAATGTATAGCTCGTCGCCGATTTCGAGGGGGAGGTCTGCTGCGCTGGAGGCAGTAAAGGGGTATGTGGCTACGGCGAAGGCAATTCGGGGCAGTGGTTGCCAGGGCATCTTGACTGTGTTGGCCAAGTAAAAGGCATCTATGTGTGGAATTATCTGGTGAGTGGTGGATGCTGCGACCAGAGGATACCTAGGTAGCTGTTGGTGTCGCCGTCACCGTCGTGGGTACGTTGAGCTACCTAGGAACTGGAGCTCAGCTCAGCTCAGCTTCTCCTAGTAGAGACTGACTCGGTTGGTCGATCGGTCGGTCGGTCGGTCGGTGTTCGTCTCGATACAGCGGTCGTGTGCGAGGTGTTTTGTAACGAAGGTGTTGGGACTGAGCCGTGTCCGATATTAGGGTTTACGATTAAGAGATAGGAAATCTAGATGGACTCGAGAGGTCAGCTACGTAAGCCGAGGGGTTTCGTGATTACACCGAGAGAATCAGTGACTGAATGGTTCGTCCGGACCTGCGGCTGCTCTCAGCTGGGTCCCTCCTGTCTGGGATCCAATCTGATGAACGTGTGTGAAAGGAGACGGGCCAAGGTCTCTCTGTAGAACGAAGGAAGCGAGCGTATTCGGTCGGGGATCGAGGGTCCTGGGTGTGCTGAGGACAGGAGCTTGGACGTGGGCTCGTCGTCGAGTCGTGGGTTTCGTGGGTTGGAACTGTTGAGAACTGAATGAGCGACTGCCGTGGACTTTCCTTCTCAATTGCTGCGTGAAGCTGCCCACAAGGAACGATTCGTGAGTGGTGCCGCAGAGGTGCCCGGCCACCTCACGCACCCAATTTTACCGCAATGCGCTAAAAGCACTAAAAGTCCACTGGAGGTCCAGATTGGCGACAGGGGTCACGAAAGGGGTTTAACCATTACATTACCTCTAGGTACACAAACCTAACACAGCAGGTCGGACAAGCTGAAAGGTGACGAGAACTGTCAATGTTGTGACTGCTTCTTTGGCGCATGTCGTCTTGACTTTGACTGGGTAGGTTCATCCGATCATGGTGACAGCAGCCCCTGGCTTGTGAAGCATGACGGGATGTGGGAAATTCATTGACTCGGAAAAAGCAATCATGTAGGGCAATACTGTAACGGTACCTCCCCGTGGTCCCTGCCTTCCACTTGGGCTCTAGAGAACCACAGCCACGATGGGATATCTAGGTAGGTACCTAAACACATTCAAATTTGCATTTGGTCATCTGCTTGGTCAAGAATATCGTGGACAGAAAAGCCCAACTCTCTAGCACTACCACCATCCAACGTGGCTTGCCGTCCAAACCGCTACTAGGTATGAAATATCAAGCTCCACGGTAGGGCCCAATTAGTCGAATCTCGGCACATCCATCCCTCCCTCATCAGTCCTTTTCCTTCCTTATCCAACAAAGTCCTCCAAGACTGGCGCCCGAGACCAGGATGGATGTACCAAGCACCCGATCAGCCCAAGATGAAGATCTGATACCACAGGACACTAGACTAGGTAGCAATTCCAAGACCCTTCTATCTCATTCTCGAAATGTCAGCAACAACAACAACAACGACTATCCCCTTTTCCCCATGGTCCATCACAAGAATGAGAGAAGGGGTCCGTGCTGTGCTTTCTCGAAATGTGTCTCCACAGCTTCGCAGTTCCTTGGCGTTGGTTCCTGGCTGATGCGCATTTTACAGTGGCTCTTCCGCTTATCGTGCCCCTGTCGCACATGATTGACACCCCCCACCTGTTCCGACCAGTCACTGCCTTGCCGTTGCCCTTCCCAAACTGGAAGTGCTCGCCCTGTCTGTTCGTCACTGTTTCACTTGCTCTCCTGTCGATTGCAATTCGTTTGTTCTCTTGTCCTTCCCACCGTCTTTCCCTTCCTCCAACATTCGCTACTGTACCTTCAGCCCAGAAGCTCAATCTCCAGTCACAAATCGTAACGTCTTCCCCCTGGGCACGAGGCTCGACCATGGGCATCAACCGTGATCCGCGTCCCGAGTGCAAGGGATTGGCGACTACCAACCTGCAATCCGACCACTTCCACTCGACTCAATGCCTCTCCCTAGAGATATTCGGTTATGGCTGAGCAAATGCTGACATCAACGCTGGCTTAAACAGATTGCTGTTGCTAAAGCATATGTATTGGCCCGACGTCGCGTTCCAACAGTTGCTTTCCAGGCCGGGCACACCTTTCGTCTACCTCGACAACCTGTTCACAACCTGTTCACAACCACGGCCGACCGAGAATATGTGGCTAGCTACGGCGTGGTGGCCAATACCATTGATACTCGACGACTCTACCTACTTACGCCGTCACGAAAACATGAAACACAGTCCCGTTCGTTCCGAGTCCCAGGAGCTGAAGAACCACTGCCAAGCCTGTGTCACAGTCGCACGCATACCAGCGCAAAACTGCCATGTGACCTCCTCCGGGTCGTTCCAAGAGACAAATTTTCCATCCATTGAATATGAGAGACATGATCAACCCGTGCCGGCTTCGAGAACCCCCCGCGGGCCGCTCGGGAGGGTATACCCGTGGCTTCTGTTCCAGGCCTTAGTGGCGCCTCCAGCCTCCATCGGATCTGGGAACGGACGGATAGTCAAAGCTAAAAGAAGGGATGACAGCCAAAGCATTCCCGTTGCGATAGCTTTGCCCATGACGATCCTCAGCTTGAACCCCTGTGGAGTCTCGGCCATCCGGAGCGGGCCATCCCGTTCGGCCTCATCGTGCGTTACCCAGGGTCCCGTCCGAAGCACAAGTCCACCACATGCCCGATCTCCACCTTGATTAGGGCATACATGGGTTGATGAAGGCGCACTCCCAGCACGCAGCTCAACAATGAATAATCACCACCCGCTTGTGAAGGTTGTATAGTGTAGCGGTTATCACTCCGGATTCTGATGTCTTCAGACCATTCCGGCAACCCCGGTTCGATTCCGGGTACGACCTGTCTTTTTTTCCTTTTTTTCCAGCTTCAGCTTGTTACTCCTCAGGGCTCGAATCGCCTGTCCTCTTAATGGCTTCGAGCCCTGACGAGTAGCTGGCCTGATTCTCTTTTTGTTGCTAATGTCCTGGGAAAGATGTCAAGTGTGCTGTTTAATTCCAAGATGAGTGTTGAGAAGGCACGATTGGATCTGTAAATTCCGTTCCCTGCAGCAAAGAGTGTTGATGCATCTTCCTCTCATCATGTCCTTCCTGTTGCCCACATCATGATAGGTACCTCATTCGCACTCGCGGAATTGTGTGTCATCCTATCTTGAGTGATGATGCTTTCCATGAACTTCGCTGTTGCTGGAAGCAGGAAAAAAAAAAAAAAAAAAAAAATTCGTTAGGAACATAAATCGCAAAAGATCAGGTCGTACCCGGAATCGAACCGGGGTTGCCGGAATGTCCAATGTGAATCAGAATCCGGAGTGATAACCGCTACACTATACAACCTTGTTATTGACTTGTTGTGCGGCAGCAAAAATCTTGGCTTAAGAAAAAAGCCTCAAGCTTGGCGACGCCAACGAGAAAAAGAGACCAAAAAAAGTTCAAAAAGAGGTCGTACCCGGAATCGAACCGGGGTTGCCGGAATGTTCTGAGGCGATTCAGAATCCGGAGTGATAACCGCTACACTATACAACCGCTCGTTAGGAACTATCACTCCATTTGCCTTTTTTTATCTGCGATACCACAAGCAATGATGGTCTCGCACAACCATACCGCACGACATGACACTGCGTCGGACCAACCCCTAGAGCCCAATAAGTGCGTCGTTATGGTAATATCTGGTTCGAGTCGGGTTGATATTCCAAGATAAGACGTTTGGTGGTCGCAAAGCCGTGGGATTGCGCGCAAAAGCAATGGTAGACGGGCTCCCCGCCCACGAAATAAATGGCCCCGCAAAATGACCACCACCAAACTTCCAACATCAACAACAGGGCGAAATGACCACCAAAATGAATGATTCTTATTGCTATCTAATGCATGGCAATCCCCAAAGCAATACCTCCGGAAAAGGCCGTGTTGAGATGACACAATCGTCAAAGAACTAGTTGAAGAAGGATGGGCGGCCTTAACCCAAGAAAGAATCAATTCCTGGATCGATTCAATACCCAAATCCTTAAGGATTGTATAGAATTAGAAGGAGCAATGACTGGGCATTAGATAGCAATAAGAATCATTCATTTTGGTGGTCATTTCGCCCTGTTGTTGATGTTGGAAGTTTGGTAGTGGTCATTTTGCGGGGCCATTTATTTCGTGGGCGGGGAGACGGGTTACATCATGTTGTAGGACTTGTGGTTGTAAACATCACATGCACTCCCCCTTATGCTTACGCCCCTCTGATTCCGTCACTCTCAAACCAAAAAAAAAAACACCAAACGGACATAGATCGAACTTCAGATACAAAGATCAAGCCATTCTCAACAGAACTTTGCTGTGAAGTAACAGATTCTGGCATCAGCAACACGCTAATTCAGTTTCGCCACCTGATCCTGCTGCCTGGCCCCGTGTAAGTGGTCACCACCACCATGGCTTTCCTTCGTGATAATCCCCGACTTGACAAGTCCACTTCCGTCATCCCTCTTCCACACGAACATCCCAAGAAACAACGTCCCTTCGACCGGTGGAATTCCTACGATGACTGGAAAGACAACGACCCAATGCGCATCCGTCTCGAACGATTCATATTCTCGCTCATAAGCAAAGATGCCCTCAAATCCCACATCGAAAAGCTGCTGCACTCTTCCGTCACGCTAGCCGACCGCTTCTCCGCCGGGCAGTACTGGTGGCTGGTCAAAACGCAAGAACACACCATGTCGCAATGGACGATGGCCCAAGCCGAACTTGCGTCCTTCACCTTCCCAACCATCGATGCCATATCGGAGTACTCAATACTCAAAGGAGAAAGGACCAATAGTTGGTCCCATAGCAACGGCATCCATCAACGGCTTTACCGACTGCGTCCCTCTGTCTTCAAGCTAGGAGTACTTCCGCAATATCGCTGACGCCAGGTTGGATGGTCGAGGGTTAGGATTGCACTGAAAATGCATCTCATGTAGGCCACGACATCACGAATCAGTTCAATTCCACCAACACTCGATCTTTCCCTTCATTACTTCTAGCTACCGAAGTGTCCAGCACCCGCCTTCCGGTCATGATCACTAGTGTCTCGTCTCCTCACCCTCATTCCTCCGGCCATTACACAGGACACAGCTGCTCCGGGGAACCAGTCAACACCCACGTACCACATTCCGAATGACTGCATCCTCTCAGGGCCAGTAGAGTTCACAACGAATCATCGGCACCCATACCTAATCCAAAACCCACTCCCCTCTCCCTCCAAAAAGCTCACTTCATTCCCGTTCTTGTATTTCCCATCATCATTATTGACCGACAAGCTAAACGCCATCTTCTCTCTGCACGGAAAGCTATTGATGTCCCTTGCCTTTCCACATTTATCACCACATTGATCCTGCGCGTTTCCCTCCGGTTTATCGGTATCCCCGTGTTGCTCTCCGTTGTGTCTCTTGTTCTTCTTGGACGCCGTGGTCCCATTTCCAGGCCCTGCTCCTGCCTCGGGAATAGAAAATGTCCCAGCCAAACCCCCTGGCGCAGGTCCGTCGATGGACCGGATATCAATTCTAGCTTTACCGGTTACGTTCGCCGACGGCGGGGGGAGAGCAAAGAAAAGGGTGCAAGCACCGACACCGATGGCGTCCTTGGGGATGATGAAAGCTATATCTGTGCCGTTTACGAGTCCGTGTTCGGGGCATACGAGGGACATGATGTACGGGACCTGCTTGTCGGGGGAGGCGGAGAGAGATGGGTATGCCGTTTTGAAGCAAGCGCCGCCCCCAGTTGTGTTGGTCGGACCGTGGTGATCGCGTCCGTTAAGATCTTTCGCGACCTGGGAGACAGCCGATGGAAGGGATCCGATTACGGAACCGGGTTCTGGTGCGGGAAGGGCGATTGCTGTGGAAGGCAAGCTCAAGGTCAAGGCTGAGAGGAAGGCCTGTCCTATGCGGAGGAAGGAAAGGAAGGTACGACACGGGAGAGACATCTCCGCTTTAAGGCAAGATTGCTGATGGGAGTGGTTGACGGAACATTGTTGCGCAGGGGTCAGAGACAAGGTCTCGGGCTATCCAGTAGCCAACTGAGATGGTTCAATCCGGCCAGCACAACAGCTGAAAGAAATACGGAGGAATCAAGTTCAGGCACTGTAACAGATCAAGAAAAGTGTTTCGAGAAGACGAGAAGAAGTAACGAAGGTCAACGAATGAGGGATGGCAACAAGTGTGTCTGACAGGACAGAATAACGCAACAAACTACGAACTTGCCAGCGCCCTTATAGCTTCCGCCTCGATGTCGCCGTTGCTGGTATTGTTAAACCCGCGCAAGTATAAAAAGTGCAGTCAACAATTCCCAGTTGGTCGCTCAAAGCTTGGGAATAGGGAACAAGGGGTTCCCCATGTTGGCACGGCGCGGTCGGCGAAGCGCTGGCCAAAACCAACCAAGGAATAACGTCAAAGGGCTATTTGGCTGAGAGTATGAATAGGTACAGGTCCCTGGTCACTGGACCTGCATGGCGATGTCGGAACCCCCGTTGGTGTTGATGCGTCCATGTCCAAACACTTCCATAGACTCTTGAAGGCACACTCATCTTGAACCTTGGAATTGGCCGCAACTTTGACGAAGGGCGTGCAACAGTCCAGATGAAAGTGGGACAAGTTGCCATCATGAAAACAGACGGTGAATGTGCAGGAGGGAGTCGACGCCAGTCGATTCAACAAGATGTGGGTGTGTAACATCTACTCCGGAACTGTTGATAGCTCGCCTTCCGGATACACGGACTTGCAAAATGTGATGGTCCGCATTTCACCCACAATAAACCGATCCATATGGATGATACGCTCGATAATTGCTGGCTCCCATCGCTGTCACTTCGGATACAGTCAGCGGCAAATGGAACAGAGTGTCCTTCCCCACGAATGACATTTACCAGCATGACACTGAAGTTTCTAGCCAGGGAATGGGGAAAGGTACTCCCCATGACAGGAGAAAGACGGAAGATACAGCGCTAGAGATTTGGTCAGATCATCTCGTCAAGCCCCTCTTGGGGATTAGGTGTTGCTTCAATGCACTGGCATTAAAACGAAGCATGGCTGAAGTCATCTAGTCTGCTTCCACGCCAATGACAGACGAGTGTCAACGGTGAGGCTATTCCCAATTACCGACACCACTTGCCGAAGCTGCGGCTCTTTGGCTCCGAAAAGTCAAAAGGTTATTTGGACGCTCTGGGGTACCATACCAAGATCTGGGCGACACTGCACAGTTGGGGAAATACGACGTTGTGACGGGTTGACGAGGGCATTTACCCGCCATCTGTGCGTGTATCTTGTTTTGCCGAATGTACCTCGAGATTCCCGTTCCCTGACACGAGGCCAACATCGCTTACGGAGTTTTCGGAGTTTGCCTAGTTGGGAGTTTCGCTGTTGGACGGCCACTTCGATTGGACCAGGCGTTTTATGCACACGAATCGTGAAAACGTTGTCGAGGAGGACCATGTTAGATTCGTGGCCGCAATGATGAGTGAAGTATAAATGGTCTGGCGCCATGCCAGTTCGGATCGAGAATGTGGGGAAAGCAAGCAGTTAGCCATCATTATCTACTAATACCTCGACTACTTCCTTCACCCTTTTCACCATGTTGGCCAAAACACTTTTTGGCCTCGCCGTCACCGCGGCCACGGGCCTCTGTGCCTCGCTGCAACAGGTGACGAACTGGGGCAGTAACCCAACCAAGATCCAGATGTACACCTACGTCCCTGACAAGCTGGCCACAAAGCCCGCCATCATTGTAGCTGTGAGTACCTCTACTTCCCTCCTCTCCAGAAAAACGCGGTGCTAACGAGGCAATGACAGCTCCACGGCTGTGGCGGCACCGCTCCTTCCTGGTACTCGGGCACACGCCTTCCCTCCTACGCTGACCAAAACGGCTTCATCCTCATCTACCCCGGAACACCCAACATGTCCAACTGTTGGGGTGTTAACGATTCTGCCTCTCTCACGCATGGGGCCGGGGGCGACTCCCTCGGCATCGTTGCCATGGTGAACTACACCATTGCCAAATACAAGGCCGACGCTTCGCGTGTCTATGTGATGGGCACCTCTTCCGGCGCTATGATGACTAACGTCCTCGCGGGCACTTACCCGGAGGTGTTCGAGGCCGGAGCTGCGTACTCGGGCGTTGCGCACGCTTGCTTCGCAGGCGCCGAGTCGGCTACTCCTTTCTCATCCAACCAGACCTGCGCCAGGGGCCTGCAGCACACTCCGCAGGAATGGGGCAACTTTGTGAGGAATTCTTACCCCGGATATACGGGACGCAGACCAAGGATGCAGATTATCCATGGCGCCGCCGACACGCTGGTGTATCCGAGGTGTGCGATGGAAGCCTTGAAGCAGTGGTCGAATGTCTTGGGAGTGGAATTCTCGAAGAATGTCACTGGCATCCCGAGCCAGGCGTATACACAGATTGTGTATGGAGATGGCAGCAAACTGGTTGGGTATATGGGCGCAGGCGTGGGGCATGTGGCACCGACGAATGAACAGGTGATGTTGAAGTTTTTTGGATTGATCAACTAA